TTTCTGTAAGGCAAACTCACTTTTTCATTGCTTAGTCATAACATTTACTGTATCAGTCTTACCAGCTCATCAAAACAATACTACTTACTGCTTTTTATAATGAAATTCAATTAATATTATGCAGAATTGAGTTAAGCAGTTTGGCCCGGCCCTCTGCAATATTTTCTGTTTCTCATGTGGCCCCATGGGTAAAATAATTGCCCACCCCTGCTCTAGAATCTTAATTGGTGGTTTTCAGAATGTGATGACGTCAAAATCCCAGATGGGGGAAAGAAACCATTTTTCCTACTTTGTATTTGAAATATACAAAAGGTAAATACACAAATGTTGAACCTGATCATTTCTATCAAAGACTATACCCTGAAACTCACTGTATTTTATAGGGATGGTATAAAATCTTGTAGCACAATATCCCACGAGACAAAAATTCCCAAAAGATTGTGCACACATGAGGAAAATTACCTGTGATTACATTTGTACTGGACAAAAAAGGGTTATGTGCTGGTGAGTTCCATCTTTTACAGTCCCAAAAAGCAGTGAACGGAAACAAAAATATGTAATGAAATAAATAAAATAAATTGTGAGGCAAAATCGGAAACTGCATTGTGAAATTTATGTAATAGGAGTTATTTTAAAATCTCATCTCTCGTTCTCGTGGATCCAATGTTTAACAAAAATCAGCATTATAACAATATTCGTGTTACTTCCCCCCATCTGTGTCTAATATTATTGACCTATAGAACGTTGTGATGTGAAATGAGCCACGTTTTTTCTGAATGACTGGAACACTGTCAGATTGTTGGACGCTTTGAGGTTGAACACTAGTTTGAGTGCAGTGAGGGACAGCGGAGGTTGTAACTTAGCAACAGCATCCTTTATATAGAGCCCTTGTGTGTCCTCTGGTGGGTCAAACTCTGCCCGTTCCCATTGGGCCACGCCAGTGTGATGAGAGCCGGGTCTGATCTCCATAATTAGTCCCATAGATAAACACAGGAAACGGGCGTGACACAACACGCTAAACATCCTCACGCCATTGTTCACCAGATAATCTGAATTCCTAGTGTCAAAATTGGCCTGGAATTAGATGCAGATGGTGCTTTTAGATTTGTACACAAACCACATTAAAACTGGGACAAAACCTTTACCAGAATTAGAACAGGACTAAACCAAGTCTACATCAAGACTAAACTGGGCTAATCCTGGACATGTGTAAACAAATTAAGAAGACATTTTCCATTCACACTTACATCACGTCAAAATTGGGACAAAATTTTGAACAAATTCTGGACCACACCAGGACTAAACATTGACTACACTAATCTTAAACCAGCACTTAGCCTGGACTTGTGTGAACAAATTACAAGCTTTACTTCCTTTGAGGTATGTTAACACTTGTACATACTGGGACTAAACCAGGACTAGAACAGGACTAAACCAAGACAAGTGTGAATGCACCCGTAGTCCTTGCATGGACCTTCTAAATGTAGAACAAAATAAGAGCTATTTTAGAGTTTATATAGAGCAGATTATCAGGGCTTGACATTACTTTTCGTGATCACTGGATACTGCAGCAAATCATTTTCTAGCCACAATTATAGTTTGATTATAGGCTCTATTCTAATTTAGTCCCAGTTCAGACGTGGTTTAGTTCGGATGTAGTTCTGATTAAAGCCATAACAGTGCGTTGCGTTCATATACAGTGTTCGGATTAATGGAGGAGACAATGGTGGGCCCCTAGAGTCTAAAATTCTAGCCCATTGTCTAAACACAACGGGGACTATATTGTCATAACAAATTTAGACTTTGTTGCGCATTGTATTATCACAAGGGTGGGCAAAGTACGGCCTGGGGGCCATATGCGGCCCTCCTATCTTTTTAATCCGGCCCGCCAAACTTGAATAATAATAATCATCTTCAGTCATTTTAATAAATAGTAAATACTGTAGGATTTGAAAGATATTTTGTTGTAATGCTTTGTAATGATTTAACAATAACTTGGGATATGTTTTCTACATATTTTCTATATTATATTTTCTCATGTTATTTTTTTTCTCGTATGCGGTGGATTACCAAAAAACTTCACCCATCTGCTCCTGGTCCGGCCCTTCTGTTAAATTTTAGAACCCCTTGTGGCCCACAAGTCAAAAAGTTTGCTCACCCGTGTATTATCAGACTCATACAAAAGACTACACCGGTCAAAATGACTGGTTAAAGTTTATTTTTTATTTGAAGTTACTTTCGGGATCAGTAACCTATCTATCTTATCTATTTATCTATCTGAAGATTAAATGCAGTAAGTGATATGTTTATTCCACAAATTGAATAAGATTACATTATTCAAATAAAAACCTACTGAGCCACCGTAATCTTGACAAACTCCGTGGGAAACACTGTATATACTGGCCAGTATATTTAGAGATCATTTACATTCACAGCTGCTCGGTGCAGTGTTGCTCTCCTCAGCGTCACACAGAGAAATTGCATCTATACGTCTGTCAAGTGTAATTTGGATGCAGCCCGTCCTCTCCCATAAGCACAAGTATTCACTGAGCTACTTAACTTAAACTTAACTTTGGTCTTCAGTATTCAGATCATGCCTCCTGTCACTATACATGAAAGGCTTAGCTTTACCATTTTAAAAGAAATGCTCGTTTACTAGCAATTTGGAAAGTAACTAACTAACTTTTAAGGTACGTTTATCCTTGTTAAAATAAAGAGGGCTGCATCAGGAAGGACATCTGGTCTTCTGCGAAACCAGTATGCAGATAAAAAGCAACCACTTAAAGGTTGTATGGAGGATTTTTTTTTCCAAATTGTCGATGAAAGTTCAAAATAAAATTATAGAGATGCAGCAGCCTTGTAATTATGATGATCAAAAAAAAAAAAAAAAAAAGAATGAAAATCCATCAACTGTGGATGTGGTGGGGGCAGATAAACATCAGCCAATAGAAAACAAGGCCACCTCTTTATCTACTGGCTGCTGGGTTGTCAGTCAAACTCCCTATATTTCTAGCGTCACTGACTTGCCGGTGCGCTGGGATTACGTGGTTTACATTTGCCTCTCACACACTGATGCTGTTTACTCAACCAACACAGCGGTTCTTAGCGTCTCTTTTGAACTGTAGCATCCTCTCACACAAAGTTTTGCACAAAGTTTGCTGTAATGGCAGACAAGAATTCACGACCAGTTCCCCACAAAGGAAAGTCTGTTTTTGACGTCTCTGAAAGAAGAGGAGAAGGGGAAGAGGAGCGAAGCGTGACATTTGAAAATGGACAAACAGTTGCTGCATTTCTCTTTCCTTGGAAAATGGTCTATACAACCTTTAAAGGTGCACTATGTAACTTTTGCAATAGAGGGTCCACCACCTGCTTGTCACCATGGAGAGGTTATTACCGAATTAGAGGTCACATGCCAGTTCACCGTTATGTTTTTCAGGGTATTTTTGAGAAATAAAAACAACTCTTATTGAATAAATTGCACATAAAGCAATAACATCTCAACCGAAACAAGCAGGTGGCGTATCTTCCATCAGAAAGTTGCATAGGGCGCCAATTTAAACTTCACTGTGTATCTGATATAAAATGTATTCTTTTATTTAAGTTATTTATTTTCCCTTAAATTGTCATTTGTACCATTTAATTTCAAATTGCAATTCTGGCTTTTTACAACCCCATATTGTTTGGCTGAGAAATCTATAAATGAAAAGAGAAAGAGAAAAGAAATAGTGTGGACAAATACTCCTCTAACACGTTCTCACTTCCACAGCCCCACAGAGGACGTCTGTGCCAGAGGTTAAGCGTCGTCCCTCCAGCTATTGCCACGCCATCTGTCATACCCAGATTTTCAGTTTTTAAAAACACTCCCCATCGTATTAAACTGTTAAAAAACCTGTACATCCCTTGTGTTATTACGCAATTAAAGCAAAAATACACCTGGCGTTGTCTTCTGTGATGACTTCCATAATTACTTCATCCATCAAACTTAATAGGATAGAGAACGCTAATGCAATATTCTAACAGCACTGCACCCAAGCTCTTTTTTCCTTAGAACTATGTGTTCAGTGTAAGTCTATAATACTTGCGAATCTTGAAATAACCTTGGGATTTTAAACAAGTACGAGCTTGTTAGTATTCGTAGGGACAGTGGCCTGGCGCAGAGGTGTCGCATCCATTTGAATGTGGGACTCGGAGGACAGGACTTGGTGGATTTCAGTGCACGGTCCCGATCGAATTAAACCAAAAAAAGTCTCTACTTTGGCCACCAGCTGAGAGAAAGGGCACAGAAAAATGGAGGGGGACCAGAGCACTTTTAATAACCTTTACGAGAAACTGTATTTGAAAGAGGCGCTGTATTGAATAAGAATGTCTATAAAGGGACACTCCACAGTAAATGAGTAATGTAGCCCATTGTTATAATATCGATGACAGCAACGCTAGATCATAAACAAACAAACCACAGCTAACAATTGTCTAATTAGAGGCTCAACTCAGACTATTGGAACTAAATTTTCTTGAGTTTGAAGTATCCTTTTTAGATCATGATTGCATTACTATGTTCTTGCAATTTCTCGTTTGGATATCATTTGGTCCTGGTTGTAAAAGGTTTAATCCAGGTATAAATGTCTATAGATTATAATGGTGTTAATCTTTTAGCATTTTTTACACTGTGGTGAAGTCTTGGTTCAGTGCTCGTATTGTTTCATATATAAAACTGCATTAAAAATGACTCTTTATGTAAAAAAAAAAAAAATTTCTGTCTTTGCTTGGGTCATTGCATTTTTCATTAGATTTTACCAAAATACAACCAGTAAAACAACATATTAATACAAAAAGACTGCACATATGGTTGTCAAATCTGCAGAAGAATGGGCTGAAGTGCTAACCACAGCGCCATAGTGCCTACTTGGCTCCCATTATACAATTTTGTTTCCCCCCAAAACTACTAATTTTCAGAATTGTAAGTAATTTCCACAAGTTTCAAATAAACATGCTTTACAAGCTCTATTTAAATCTACATTTATTTATCAAATTCAGTCTTTAATGTGCATCTGTTTTCCGTGGTCTTATGGGGCCGATGGAAGGAGGGCGGTTGGTAAAAGGGTGCCATTGTCCCTGGATACTCGGGGTGTCCGTGTGAAAGGGCTTTCGAATGCGAATAATGTCGAGCCCTGACTGGTTTGTGAGTTTGGTCAAAAGCTCCGAAATCTGTGGTGCAGTTTTGGACGTGACGATTTCCTCCCTCACGTTGCCATTTACTGCAGAAAAGAAAAAAAAAATCATATGGAACAGTGTCAGTGACAAAGAGCAAGCCAAGAACTTCAAAGCACGAGTATGTTAATTTGATGGTGTTAGGACGCCCCCTGTCTGACAAAAGAAGTAATGACAACAATGTCCATCTTCATTGATTCACATTTTGAACTATAACTGTATAATAAAAAATCAATGACAGTGTGAATGGTTTCAGTAGTTGTATTCATCCTCATATTTTACAGTTTTAGATTAAAGGGCAAATTGAGAGTCCCTAAGAACAATCAAATTTGGACACTATATTAAGATTTAAAGCTTTACAGTAATTTTTCTATATGGTAAATTATCGTGTTTATATTGCATTTTCCTTCTAGACACACAAAAAGTTGTTTTTATTAAGGAACCACTCACCCATTCACACAAACATTCATACACTACTGTCTGTAGACACTGCGGGCGAGATTGGTTAAGTGTCTTGCCCAAGGACACAACAATTCAACAATTCAAAAGCATTCATCATCTGTAGGATTTGGAATCGCAACACCAACCATTCTTCAGATCAGTGGACAAACACTTCAACATTACTGAATGAGGTATTGTTGCCCTTTAATTTTTGATAATTAACCTAGTAAGGGTTAGATCATCTTACATCTTTTACAATGAATTCAAGAGTACTCACAATATTCAGCTACAATCTTTGGGATTCGAGAGGTCTGAGGCGACACATACACGACTGTCCCTGGGTTTTTCTTTGCATAATCCACCACTCCTTCCTCAATAAAGTCTCTGTTGAAAAAAAAAGATATTAAAGCAGTTATATTGTTAAAACAGATTACAACGATACATTATTTTCCATTGTTTAAATGAACAAACACATTTTTGAGAACTTAATTTGTTGTATTGTGGCACAACTCATTATTATCATTAGCGTGTTGTGATTTTGTATTGTACTGCAGTTTAAAAGTAATATGCAGTTTTTAAAGGCAGAAATACAATAAAATGAAATCAAATATATTCGATTATATGGTTGGAGCATCAATATTTTGGTGTTGGGAAGGGGAGGCGGGGGGAATTTAATTTGTTTTCATATGGGGTTAGCGTAATCTAGCTAAAATAGTCTAATTCAATCCAATTCTAAATGTCTTCAGGGTTCACGTAAGTGTGATCAAGAACAAACATTATCAATACTCGAGAATAGCCAAGAAATGACCGTCAAGTAATAAAGAAACAGTTAAAACGTGATCTTTACCTGACTCCTAATGAGCTCTGTGCGTTTTTGGAGAAAATGATGGAGACGCGTTTGAGCTGACAAACATATCGCCCCACTCCGTTTTGAAGGACGCTTTTGAGAAACCGACTCGGCGTCCCTCTTGAAGTCATGTTTATTTATATGCTAATCTATGACACAGTGAGTGGGTAAAAACTATAAAAAAAGATATTATAGAAGGATTTCTGTAGAGGACAAATTGACGGGCATGTACCGAAGCATGAACATCTTGGTCCGTCAGCAAAATGTGTCCGAAAGACTCTTATGCTGATTATAAATGTGTGGAAAATACGTATTTGCGTCTTTAGATTGAAAGGAAAATAAAATAAAAACGGATTTATGTTTAAAATGAATAATAGCAGTAGTAGTTGTATTGTTATTTCGATATCACTGGATTTTTTTGTGCGGACCCTTTAGGTTATGGGCCACACGAACTTGTTTTGAAGGGACACCAAAAAGCCCGGGCAAGGCAGACAAAGCATGGAGGGGAGGACATCCAAGAAATTAACTTGTAAGTTGATTTATTTTTCTCTTTTGGCATCTTATTACGGATCACTACTTAAATCCCCGTCTATCGTTATCAGATTAACAACGTAAAAGTCAATGCACGTACCAATTTTAATGTTTTAAGACCCTCGAGATATCTACAGACTTTTGCAGCTAATATTTAATCGGTATATAATTTTTGTGTTAATATTAAGATTGTTTTTTATTCATATTCTCTTGATCTTTTACTTTTAGGCTCGATGTCTTGAAGGACAGTACTAGGATGTGGAGGAGCTTGCTGCTGAAGGGGTCCACCTGTCTCCTGCAGGTTGGAGTCCCAAAACTCCCCCACCGAACACTGCTTTCCTCTCTGCCTTTAAGACATTTTACCCCCAAACCTTATTTCAAGGCTGCCCCTGCTTTGTGTATGCTGCCACACAGTCTGCCTGTCCACTTAAGGATTTATAGGACCTATAAAAAGGATGCTAAATCTAGTGGCGAGTTCCCAGTTAGTCCTGTGACTGTAACTGATATAAAAAATTACCTGCGATCCAAAGATATACATTTCCTTGATGGTTACAGCTGTTTGCACATCCCAAGTATTTTTGTGGACCCTACTTTAAGGAAAGACAGCTTTTCCTTATTTGTTGACAAAACTACTGGTAGGTTTTTGTGTATGGACACGTTGGTGGAGGGGAGCTGGGAGGACCTTCAGGATTGTCTTGAGGTGATGCAAAAAGATGAACAAGATGCCCTCAGCCCCTCCATGCTGCTGGGGTATCCCGAGAGCGAAGAGGAGCAAGAGGAAAGGGACAGAGAGCTGAAAGAGGTGCAGAGGATCTGGTCCAGTTCTGTCCCGCTCACAGATCTTCCTGAGGAAGAGGCACATCTGATTAAAACTATGTTCCAGGTATAACAATCTGCTTTCATAATAAATACCTTTTCCACAGTGTTTATTTTATGGTGCTAGTTTAAAAACATTAATTACTTAAAACTATTATATATAACCAAATATTAAGTCTGGGTAAAAAAAAAGAGTTTCTAACTTGGATAATGTTTAAGAATTTTTTGGATATGTAAATAAAATATGATGTAAATCTTGGATTGGCAAGGAAATCTGGTTTCGGGCCATCCACTTTAATCAAAGGATGTTACTATATTTTATTACTATATTTTTATATATGCTATTGGTTGTCATCCAAGCATTTATTTAGTTATGATGCCTGAATCTACTTGAAATATTTGTTTTCACATAAATGAATGAACAATATTTCACTTTTCTCTTCCAGATTACCAAAATTACCAATGCAACCCTGAAGAAGTTTGGAGTGCGACTCTTCAAGCCGACCAAGAATTTAGTTTTCCCCTGGTTTGGAGGACCTAACTGTTCATTAAAGGGGGTGAAGCTGCTATCTGCCCAAATCACTGAAAATGACAAAGTAACCTATAAGGAAGCTACACTTCCCAGGATCAGTGCGTACTATAACTTGTTTGGCTTTCCTTTGGTGGGACGTAAGGACACAGAGTTGGTTTTGACTGGAAGTGAATTAGATACATTAGCTGTAAGCCAGGCTACGGGACTCCCCTGTGTTAGTCTACCACGTGGAGTCAGCTGTTTACCACCTATCCTCCTACCTTATTTAGAGCAATTCAAAAGAGTAACTTTGTGGCTAGGATCAGATATTCGTTCCTGGGAATCATCCAAAATTTTCTCAAGGAAACTAGGTCTAAAAAGATGCTCGCTAGTGAGACCAGGAGAATTCAGACCATCTCCGATTGAGGCACTGGCAGAGAGCAAAAACTTATCTAGAATAATAAGCACCTCCATCCCAGCAGCACACAAGTCTATAGTCTCATTTAAGCAGCTGAGAGAGGACGTGTATGGAGAGCTGCTGAACAAAGATCAGGTGGCAGGCGTCAAATGGACACGGTTTCCAGAACTCAACAGGATCCTCAAAGGACATCGCAAAGGAGAGCTGACAGTTTTTACAGGTACAATAAATTATAAGCCAGGATGTTTATAATTGATTGGGATGATATTTGGACTCTGCCAAAAACCTTTATTTTAACACTTCAATGCGAAGAGATCACTGCAATAAACGTGACTACACAGCTCTCTTATTGTTTTGTGATAAAAAGATCTCTGGGTGAGTTTGTAGTTTTTCCCAAATTCTGTAATTTACATTTACTATCAAACTCGGCCGAAAAATATTGGCAGATCTTATCAGTCATCGGTTTCTCTGGATTCTAAACAATCGGCCAAAAAAAAAAAAAAAAAAAAATCCATATTGGTCAATATCTAGTTTATAATGGATAAAGAAAGAAATAGAAGGGAAATGAGTATATTTTGGTCCAATGTTTTCGTCAGACATTTCTTTATAATTACTGCATATCACAAAAATACACTAATCCAGGGTGGCAAATTATAGCCCAAAATGTAGCAGTAAAAACACCCACAAACAAAATGGATATAATTTTGTGAATACTTAAACAGCTAATAATAATTCAGTGAGAGGAGTATTCGATTATTTGATTTTTTGGGGGGAGGGGGGGATAATAAAACCTTTACTGATGTTAAAATGGCTCACATGACGTAACCTTGGTATTCACAAAGTCCTTGGGTCAAACATGAAGATTGTAATAGCAGTTTGTGGGTAGTAGTAATAGTAGTAGTTTATATAGTGCCACCTAAGTTATTAAAAAACCTTTGTAATGTTATTTTGATTACAAATATATTTCTGTATATTCTTTTCTAGGTCCAACAGGAAGCGGAAAAACCACCTTCATTAGTGAGCTGGCCCTGGACCTTTGTATGCAGGGAGTCAACACTTTATGGGGAAGCTTTGAAATCAACAACGTGCGTCTGGCTAAGATCATGCTCACACAGTTTGCCATGCAGAGACTGGAGGATAATTTAGAGCAATACGACTACTGGGCTGACAAGTTTGAAGAGCTGCCGTTGTATTTTATGACTTTCCACGGACAGCAAAACATCAAGTAAGTTGCCAGGACGCCATAAGGGGAATAAGACAGATTACAGATTACAAAAAAAATCGTACATAATTTTCTTTAGTTTGGCAATTTAAGGTTATACTTTTACTTTTACGTTCTAGTTGTGTTACCTGGCAGCCACAAAGTAAACAATAGGCCAAATCATTTAACAAATAAAATAAAATTACAACACTTTTTGTGTTCAAACTGCCAAAACTATGATAAATATTTAACAAGGGTACTATCTCACCAAATGAAGCAATAATTAGAAATAAAAACAATAAAACTTGCTATATTATGCACTATTCAAACTATTTACTCGCATTGTTTTCTATATAGGACTGTTCTTGATACTATGCAGCATGCGGTGTACCTCTACGACATCAACCACGTTATAATTGACAACCTGCAGTTCATGATGGGGCAGGAAAACCTCACAGTAGACAAGTAAGTCTGTGCAATAACCAAACACATATTAATACTCAACATTATCAGACTGGAAATCATTGATGAATCTTTATAGGAGAATTGTACTGTTTTGGATTTGTCTTTTGCCTGTTATTGGTCGATTTTTGTTTGCTTGTCCAACATGAATTTAAGACAATAGACAATAAAGGCTAATCCAGTTTTATCTAATCTAATCTTTAGGTTTGCGGTACAGGACCACATCATTGCAGCGTTCAGGAAGTTTGCCACTAACAGCAGCTGTCATGTCACGTTGATCATTCACCCGAGAAAAGAGGAAGACGACCGAGAGCTTCAAACTGCATCCATCTTCGGTTCTGCAAAGGTACAATTTTCAGAAAACATAATATGATACTCAGTTCAATTTCTGCCAAGTTTTGACATAAATCAGAAATAATAAACCTCCCAATCAGAAAGTTTGAGTGAGTTTCTAGCTCAGAGACCATCTTGACTGACAGTACCTGACTGCTACTTTCTTTGTAAAACTTTGCAGAATACACAAACACAATTATGTACAATTTTCTTTGTGCAAAATGGAAAAGAAAATCATTTAGCAGCATTCATCCATGTTGTAGTCTTATTGAAAAAATGGATGAAAAAAGTAAAAAGCCAATACACTTGATATAAGATTTTACTTTTGGGATTAATAGCAAAAATATGCAAAAAAGTATATTCTCTGGCCATAATCCTTGTTAGAAAGTCTTGGTTAATTGTTCAACTTTGCAATATTATGTACATTTGAACAGCAGGTCCTAAAATGGGGGTCTCAAAAGTACTGAGTTGGCATTTGCAAGATGATTTAAAGTAGAAATAAGTAACATTTTTATCTCATTAAACATCTTTATAAGTCCCTGTGAAGGTTATGTAATTATGGTATGTTTGATGCATTTTTTCCACTGCAATGCAAAAAAACAGCTTTGCAACATGGCACACACCTGACCCTGGGTCTTTTTTAAATTGTATGTGATAATACTTAATTTTCTCAATAAAAAAATATTAAAGAAAAGAGAAGACAAGAATAGAAAAAAGCCTTTTTGAACTGCAATCATCCAAGGCCAGATTTGTTTCCTGTTTGGTTAGACTTAGACTTAAACTTTAACTTTGCTGATCCACAAGGAAAATTATTTGGACACAGTAGCTCCCACATCACAATATATTATAATAAAGAGCAAAAATGGCAAGTAAAGCAAAAATAACAGAAGACTGGTGTCAAATAAGGCATGATTGAGGTTGATGCATGTTCTAGTGTGAGCACAGGCTGCTGTCTTTTTGCCAGTGATCTAAACACAAAATGTAAATATAAACAGACAGATATAACAGCTCTTATGTCTTCTCCCAGGCGTCCCAGGAGGCAGACAACGTGCTGATTTTGCAGGAGAAGAAGCTGGTGACCTGCCCCGGCCGCAGATCTCTTCAGGTCACGAAGAACCGTTTTGATGGCGACGTGGGCATCTTCCCTCTGGACTTCATCAAAACGTCCCTCACTTTCTCCGCTCCTGTTAAAGGTAAACTCAAGTTCAAAAAGCCCACAAAGAGCGAAACTGACGCTCTCCCAGGACCTGACGCGGCAGTGAAGAAGGACGAGGTCAAAAAGGAAAAAGTGTCTAAAACAACAAAGAATAAAACTGCTACAGCAAGTGAAACCAACCAGAAATAAAATGAACTGTTATTTAGAGTCGTACAAGGTTCAACTAAGCTACGTTTAGTTAGAATAATGCATTTCTCAGTATTCACTTTGAACCTTTTGGACTAAAGGTGCTTTTTTGGTCATCTGCTTCTTTTCTCCTTGAAGATGTTGAAGTGGTTTGCCTGTAATGTTCCTCTGTATGGCAGCAAACACATCTGTCTCCATGGAGACAAGCAGGTGATCAACAGACCAAGTTACAGATCAGTTCTGTGAAGTTGCAAGCCAGCTCACAGTAAGACTGTGTGTTTTTGAGGCTATTTTTTTAGCAATAAAAACACCTGTATTGGATAAATCAAGATAGATGTTAAATGCCACACTGTGGAACATTTCAGGTAAAGCCATGTCAAGCTGATTGCAGAACCTCTTCCAGAAAAGTTACATAGTGTACCTTTTGAAATGGTTGGTAAATTTACGATTATTATTGTACACATTGTACATAATTAAAAATAATATGTAAAATAATGTGCCTTTTATATGAGATCCTGTGATTTGACATAAACTGACATTATAATGCTTTATGTATTTTGTATTTTGTATGTATCAAGTCATTTATGTTAGACACTGTTTCACATATACAGTATACAAATATAATTTTCCCTCTTATTCATCCAAATGAATAATGCATGCCCCTTTCAGATGAAGATTCAATAGTATTAGATGCTTTATTAAATAAGCTACAGCATTTATGCATTACTAGTATATTCAATGTGAAATTAAAAGGGTTTATGATTTCATTTAAACAGTTTTGAAGGAATAAGGTGTAAAACATTTTTGATAATGTTCTGTTAAGTGCCAATGCTTTTATAGGACAAAAAGTGCTTTCTACTGATTTATACTAATACCTCTTTTGTATTAAACACTGTACAAAAAAATCATCAATATAGATTTGTGTTTTTATTTATGGCCAGTAGGGGGCGGTGTCATCTGACGTTGATGCAGGATTAGACATAGATGTAGATTACTTTTTTTTTTGTGATCACTTCTAATTAACTTAAACTTAAAAGTTACTTGACCTATAATATATATATATATATATATATATATATATATATATATATATATATATATATATATATATATATATATATATATATATATATATATATATATATATATATATTTAATTATTGCTATATACGTTATGAAATTTTATTTTTCATGAAATTTAATCAAAAAATGTGACTGATCATAATGAAGGGAAAAAAAATAAATAAATTTTGTATCAAAATCAGTAACTTAAGCAGATCCTTAAATATTGGTTAAGTTAATTTGTTTATCTTGGAGTGGACAGTTGAGTATACAGTACTTCAAACAGTATTTGCATACTGTATACCTTTACATAATACATAATTTAGTTTAAGTGACCTTTAATAAATACAAAACCTTCAAAACATCCCTCTGAATCTTTAATGAGCCTTTTGTCTTGTAGTGTGGGTGTTCAGGCTGCATCAACTGCCCCAGAAAGTGCGATGTTATCCTCTGCAGTGAATCGTATTAATGTTTCAAGTGGTTTATTGGATTGTAGTCTCTTTGTGTGTCAGCAAAAACAAAACACAGTGAGATTTATGAGGTTCTTTGGTGGCAGATGTTTTGTATCAGGGAACTTTTAACTGGAGCTTCCTATTTGGGGTATTGTTATTGCAAAAAAGGAAGTTTTGCAGACTAATCGCTTCAGAAAGAGACAATTCTTGATAGTAGGGTTGTCACAAATACCCAGTACTTGGCTCAGGAGCAAATCCAGATACTCATTTGAAGTATTAAAACTAAACTTAAACTATGTAACTTTTCTAGTGGATTGTCTGCCAAATGCTATTTTGCTCTGTGAAGATTGTTGCTTTGTCTGGAATGTTTCACAGTATGCTATAAATCTTCTCTATCTTCATGGAGATCAAACCAAACCAGGTCAGATCTGTGGAGAGGCGACCCCACTCACAGTCAGAATGCCTGTTTTTCTAGATGTTTTTGAGCCATAAAACAACCTGTAATTTAATAAATGTAAAGTAGAGCTGTTTAATTTCATAATGTGGAACATTTTAAGCAAAGCAATGACATCTCCATGGAGAAAAACATATGACAGACTCTCCACCAGAAAAGTTACATCGTACATCTTTAATACTAAAAATCACAAAAAGCCTTGACTTTTTTTGCATTATTTTTCAATGGTTTTATAATCTATATCTGAACTAGTAGAAGACCACATGGTAATATACAATAATTATATGTTGAAAATTACAAAATAGCAAAATAGAGTTAGACATTTTAGTTCTGAAACAAAACTCTGCTAATTTATAGGCTTATTTGAACTTATCAAAACAAAAAAATGCTCCCTGCTGCTGTCTGAGAACTGGAGACACATAATTATATACTTAGTCTTGTTTAAATTATTTAGTAGGTTTTGGCACAAATGCTTCCAGGTAAGATACTGACTGTCTGTCTACTGGTTTCAAGTTTTATTAAAATGTTGTTAAATCAGCTCTCACAATATCTAAATTTTTTCTGTGTGTCTCCTTTTTTTTGTAGGCTACTTATATAAGTATATGTTTCTGAAATAACTGTACTCTTAACCATGTTACCCATGTTAGCCACACCAATCTCTGCCTGTGAAGTCCATGAAAGCTTTAAAGTCACATTATCAATACAATCTTGTTTCAGATTGGATTACTGGATTAGTTACTGTAGATAAAGCAGCCGATGGAGCCATGATGTCTGATTACTGTCTGAGAAGCAAACTGGACTCATAGAAATGTATATGTTGCTAGTGCTGCCTTCTGGATGAAAAAGTGTTTTAACAAGTCCATTACCACAAAAGAAAATCAAATTCTTCTGAACAGATTTTGCTGCTCATTCAAGTAGCTTCTTCTGGTCAGTTCCCAAACCTACCTGCTGGGGTTTAAGGGAGTGAGAATTCAAATCAGAGAGTTATTTTAGTTTTTAACCAACTGGATTTCATCATTGAAAGTGGTAATCCAAATTGACTGACTCTGATATTAAGTTAAAACTTAAAGAACTTGGCAATCCTTGTTTTGTAAGTAAGAATAAATCAGCATTGCAGTTGATATCAGTAAAAGTTTTATTTGATTAATTTGAATATGTCTCATATCTGAGTACACGATTATAGTCAGGCTGGCACCACCTTTTGCCTCCATTCAGTTTCATTTCTCTCCAGCGACTAGGTCAAGAATCACAACACAATTGACGGTTTGCAAGAACCCTGGAAGGATTCCTGAGATCGAGAATTTAAAGCCAGAAAAAGAGAATGTTTGGTGAATTTTATCAAGGGGAAAGACGTTATTGTCCTTCTTCCTACAGGATTTGGGAAAAGCTTAATATACCAGTTAGCCCTGTTAGTGGCGCATTACATACATCATGACCAAACAGCAGCGATTGGTTAAATAAAAACAGTACCTGTCTACCATTGAGCAAACGAATCCTAATGCTGCGAGGTCAGACAGTTTCCACAAAGTGAAACCGACTGATGATTCAGCCTAACACGATTATACCATGTTTCTGAAATCTTCAGTTCTTTTAAAAAGTTTGATGCAGTGCAAATGTAGGTCAGGTACACTAGGCTATAACATGTAAACACAAGTGCAAAACTGCAGTACTACAACTCCTACTCTAACTACTTTAACTGCCTCTGCTACTTGTATTGCAGTCCAGAGTTGTGAAGCCGCTTGAAGCCTGTCGGGGCCTGAACGTGCAGAGATGTGTTTGTGTAGCTGGAGTAGACCTACGCCGTTAATGTCCTCAAATATTTGTTTAACTACAGGGTTTATTCTAAGAGGTTATATTTACTCTCACATGTTTGTCTGCTATAAATAAAGAAATTCGTAATGTTATTTATCAGTGAAGTCCAGTAATGGGCAAATATCTAACGTATATTTACTAGGAGTGTTTGCTGTTAGGTCATATGTACCACTATGGGATACTTAAAGATGCACTATGTAATTTTTTGTTTGGGGGTCTGTCGCCTGCTTGTTTCTATGGAGATGTCATTGCTTTGCCTGGAATGTTCCACAGTGTGACATTAAACAGCTCTACCTTACATTTATTCAGTTACATGTGGTTTTATAGCTCAAAAATACCTAGTAAAACAGACATTCTGACTGTGAACAGGGTTGCCTCTCCACAGATCTGACCTGTAACTTGGTCTGGTTTGATCTCCATGACGATAGAAAGGTCTGATACCATACTGTGAAACATTCCAGACAAAGCAATAACATCTCCATGGAGAAACATTTTGACTGGTCCTCAAAATGATAATTATTTTACTTGTTTACTACATTTTTAAGTACCAGTATTACAACTTGATGAACTTGTCCACCATTTTAGTGTTCATCTGGAGACTAAAGGAGAAGAAACCACAAGATTTAGGTTTTAATCAAGACAGAAACAACAGACCAAAGGCATTTCTCATGATACGAAACTGAAGCAATTCAAAGCAACGGTGATCAGACGACGCTTAAAATATGTCTGCAAAGTTAGAGAAAAATCCATGACAACGTTTAAATGCATGGATACAAAGTGCGGAGGGATTCTTTCAAAGCACTTGAACCATGGAGGACTCAGAGGGACTTGACTTTCTTGTCAAAATGAGGTCACATTGTTGAAGAGTTAAGTTGGATTGTAGCAAAACTGGATAATTGGCTGTTTTTGTATTGAGGTCAAAGTTCAAGAAGATAGAAAGTCATGTTTATACACACAATAGTTGTTCGTGTTTTGTAAAGCACTGGCTCACCACATAATAATACTGACCTAGAGTTATTTTTAAAACTCCTTTCAACAAACAATGACAACAGTTATGTGTGTGTCTGATACTGTTGTGAGAAAAGAATTTAAACTTTGACATTGAACACCATATATTTGTGACTGGCCCAGTAATTAGAGATATTAATCATAAACTAAAAACACTCAATTCAAGAAACACAGTTTAGCCTTTATATTTATTCTTTTTTATTTTATTTTCAAATGAGTATAAACTATGAGCCTCCATCTCTCTGTCTACCTCCCTTTCTCTCTCTCTTTCTTTTTCTCTCCTTCCATCTCTATCTCTCTCTCTGTCTTTCTCTCTTTTTTCTGTCTTTCTCTCTCCCTCCATCTCTCTCTGTGTCTCTCTCTCCATCTCTAACTCTCTGTCTTTCTCTCTCTCTCTATGTCTTTCTCTCTGTGTCTCTCTGTCTTTCTCTCTCCCTCCATTTCTCTCTCTGTCTTTCTCTCTCTCTCTGTCTTTCTCTCTCCCCCATCTCTCTCTCTCTGTCTTTCTCTCTCCCTCCATCTCTCTCTCTGTCTCTCTCTCTCTATGTCTGTCTCTCTCTGTCTCTTTCTGTCTTTCTCTCTCCCTCCATCTCTCTCTCGCTCTGTCTCTCTCTCTCTCTCTGTCATTCTGTCTCCCTCCATCTCTCTCTTTCTCTCTCCTTCTATCTCTCTCTCTGTCTTTCTCTCTCTTTCTGTCTCTGTCCCTCTCTGTTTCTCTTACTCTCCATCTCTCTCTGTGTGTCTCTCTCTACCTCCATAGCTCTTTCTCTCTGTCTGTTTGTCTCTCTCTCTCTCTGTCTCTCTCACTCTTTCTTCTCTCTACCCCATCTCTCTCTCCCTCATCTCTCTCTCTGTCTCTCTTCCTATTTCTCTCTCTTTGTCTCCCTCTGTTTCTATTACTCTCCATCTCCCTCTTTGTCTCTCTTTACCTCCATAGCTCTTTCTCTCTCTCTCAGTCTATCTGTCTCTCTCTCTCTCCTTCTATTTCTCTCTGTGCCTTTCTCCATCCATCTCTCTCTCTCTCTCTCTCTCTCCTCCATCTCTCTCTCCCTCCATCTCTCTTCTCTCCTCTCTCGTCTCTCTCACGTGGGTTGAGCACGTTTGACCCACATCCTGGGCTGTGCGGCTCGTG